GGGAAAAAGCAAGAAGCTCACTGCGGTGAACACATGTTTTATTTCAGGGTCCGAGTCTGTTGGGATAGTTTCCAGGAGACGCATTGGTTGGCAAGTGTAGAGGAGGCTGCAGATTCTCTCCTGGGGCTGCCGGAGTAGATTCATCTTGAGGATCAGAGTGAGAAAGGAGTTGTCTAATTTGTGTACTCTCCTTTTGTGGTTGGGAAGCTGCACGCATCAGTTTATAGAAGGTGGTCACGTAGGTGGGGAGAGAAGGCAAAGGGCTCAGTGTTCCATGCCCCATATTCCATTCGTCAGTAATCCAATTCTGCCATCTTCCATTTCGTGTTTTGACCTTTTTAGGACTGCTTCCTCCCCACTCTGTGCTAATTGATGGAATTCTATGACTTGACCTTGAAAAATGAAAGTCTGAACTATTCAGGAAAGGACTCTCAACGAGCTAAAAAGACAGAACTGTTGCCCATTCCCCCAAGTTACAGAAAAGCTGATACTATTATGTGTCATAAAGCAGGACATGAAAATATTACTTTTAACAGAAAAGTCTGGCACACACCCAGACTCCAAATATTACAATCCTTGACCACTTGATTTAAAATAGTTATTTTTCCTAACCTGCTGATAACATATTCTACCTTCCTGTAGGTCTCTTGCATGGCAATTATCACCATCTAACATATATTTTACTTTGTATTTATTTCCACTAAAATAAACTCATGGGCTTCTGGGCACTGTATTCCCAGTGTATCTAGAAAGGTACCTGGCATATAGTAGGTGCTTAATAAATTGTTGTTGAATAACTAAATCAATGCTATATTCTAAAAAAGCAATTTTAACCTTCAAAGGTCCATACTTTGCGTTTGTTTTCTTATTTGTTGCCCTAGCAATATATTTTCACTGCCATTTCTGTTTCTGAAAGTTATAAATATTCATGAGGTTTTGTCCTTAAGCCAGAAAATAATAATTTAAACTTCCCTATTCTCCCACACAAATGCAGGTAAACAGAAAACTTATCGCTATTAGATTTCTTATTTAAACAAAGAGCTTGAGAACCTGCCTTACTTAAATTGATACAAGCAATTGCATTTGGCTTGGTTTCCTTTGTCCTGTCACTAGGTCTTGTTTCTATTGAGTTTGGCAGGCTGGCCAGCACGTTGCTCCTTGGGATCCCTTGAGAATCGAGGTATCCACTCAGAGAATTCCTTCCGCATTTGATACATGCTCCGGTCCGCTGCTGCTGCTCATCGTGTGTTTGTGTATGTGTGAACTGCTGAAAAACAAAGCAAGAACCCAGAGATTCTGCATTCTTGAAGAATGCCCAAATCATTTGGTGGTGACGAATGTGGTAGGGTGAGGGGGAGTCAGAAATTACCCTTCGATTTAAAAAATGTGTTATTTTGGCTTTGGGTTATGAAAGAGCTTGCCCTAGCAGGTCTATTTAGAGACAATGTTTGAAAAATTCAATAAAAATAAAGTAGAAATGTTCATTGTTTCCCCTGATGTCCAAGCCTCAGGGCCTGAGGCCTTGGGATTAGAAGAAGAGAAAATGTGGTCAGAGGAGAGAGCCTGCTGCCTTCTTCATCTTACTCCTGCCATGGGGGATGTGCAGGAACGCAGGAGCACTGATATCTGCTCACCTAGACTACTCTCTTAGCAATCCTCCAGACAGCCTTGTTACAGCCAATAGCATTTTGTTAGTGGGTAGATGCTTTGTTAGAGAAAGCATCTTAGAGGGCAGTGTTAGCATCAGTCTTGTGCACTACTGCATTCCCGGCACCCAACACAGTATAGGGTGCATAGTACTCACTCCTTAAATACTTAACTCACTTGTTAATTCAATATATTCATGGATTGCTCATTTTGTGCCAGACTTCTTCTAAGTGCTGGAGTTAAGGTGATAAACAAAACAGACAAAATCCCTGCCTCGTGGAGCTATATTTCAGTGGAAAGCTAGACAACAATTAAATAAGCAAGTAAAATATATAGCACATCAAATAGTGAAAAATGCTGTAGAGGACAATTAAGCAGAGAGGAGGGGGGATAAATGGTGATGGAAGGAGACTGGACTTGGGGTGGTGAACACACAATACAGTATGCAGGAGAATTGTGCATCTGAAACCTGTATAATTTTGTTAACGAGTATCACCCCAATAAATTCACTGAAAAGAAAAAAAAGCCCTGGCCAGTTTGGCTCAGCGGTTGGAGTGTCAGCCTGTGGATCAGAGAGTCCTGGGTTCGGTTCCTGCTAGGGGCACGTACCAAAAAAAAAAAAAAAAAAGAAAAAAAGATGCAAAAAAGTGGTTTCATCTTGTAGGCACTCATTTTAGTTCACTTTCTCCTCAGTGATTCTACTTTCTGTTTAGTTTCCTCTTTCTCATATATAACATTTATTGCACAGTTCTATATATGCCACTCGATTTACCTACCTTCTTCTTCCTCTTGTTTTTCAATCCTTACCCAAGAATATTTTTCCATTTATCTTCAGACAGAGTGGGAGAGAGAGAGAAAGGGAGGGAGAGAGAGAGACAGAGAGAGACATTGATGTGAGAGAGACACATCCACTGGTCGCCTCCTGCATGACCCCAACCAGGGCTGGGGACTGAACTGCAACCGAGGTAGGTGCCTCTGATCAGAATCGAACCCACGACTATTTGGTCTGTGGACCGGTGCTCTAACCACTGAGCAAAACTGGCCAGGGCAAATTTACCTACCTTCTATCACTAGCTTTTTACAACAACACTGAGAAGCTGGAACTCATTAGTATCACCATTTCAAAGATGAAGTGATACAGATGATTTTAGAAGACAGTGTGAAGTTTATGTCAGGAGCACAAAATCTCAGAGATAGAAAACATTTGAGAGGGCATCTGGGACCACTGCTCTGATGTCCCAGTTTCTTGATAGATGGTCATGGAGCATCATTTTGAATAGGTCTGGTAGTGAGGGCACAGCCCCTGCTGCTCCCTATTTCTGACACATCTAGGAGAGGGCCTCCTCCATTGTTCCCTACTCCCCTGAATCACATCTGTGCCCTTGAACACAGACTCCAGAGTCCGAAACCTGCTGCCCTCTCTTACTAGCTGTGGAAACTTGGACAGTATTTTAGTTTTTCTGTGCCTTCTTGTCCTCATTTATAAAATGGGGATAATAATAAAAAAAAAATGCATTATAGGGTTGTTGAGAGGATTAAATGGTAGAATACATGTAAAGTGCTCAGAATAGTGCTTGCCGTATCGTCAGCACTCAACAGATGTTAGTTGTTATTACAGCTAACATACAGTTTTATGGATTCGCTCAGATGTTTTTTCTCTTCTTCCTCAAACACATTTCCCCCAGTTTCTGTCAGAGGACTCATTGGTCTCTTCCTAGGAATCTATCTTGTAAACCTTATAACACATGGTACCAAAACTCTGAAAACATTTGCATAACTAGCTTCCAAATATCATTCTTTTTCCAAAGTCGTGATTTCAAACTGGGAGAAGAAATGTACCCTTTCAGCCTTGGAATTGCACTTCATCTTCCTGCCTAGCACAGATTCAAAGAAGAACAATGGGACATGACTAGCTGGTAGTGGGCTGGATGAGTCATGATGGAGCCTGTGTGGTAACTTGGATACATCCCAGGAAGGTTGGGTCTGAACTCCATTCCCAGAATATAGGGCTCAGGGTGCCCAATCCGGATGGGGATCTGGGAACCTGATTTTATACAAGGGCAAGGTCAATATTCAGAACCTTGAGACATTTTCACTCATCCAACAGGGTGGGACAGTGAGGTAGAGGCCAAGAATCAGGACACAAGGACAGAGTGAGTGGGTGTGAGATGGAGAGTTGAGAAGAGATTCCCTGAAATGTAGCTGTTTGAGGAGATAAATGAGAAGAGCTCATGGGGTCATGGCTAAAGTGCACAGAATAATTACACATTATAAGTATATTTATTACATGCATAGCATGTATATATATATATATATATATATATATATATATATATATGTGCACACATATGTATGCACATATATGGTTCTGTATATAGTTCTATCATCTACCTCTCTCTCTATGAATGAAAGATCAGGCAGGTCATGAGAGGTGAGAGGACTTGAAACACTCTTGGTGAAGCAATGAGGAGCCCTGACTGAAACCGACTGCGTGTGTCTGGCAAACTTGTTAGCCTTTTGTACTTCTGTGGAAAGCAGAATATCTGATAAGAAGGATTAGTTGGAGAAAATATTCTCTAGACATTGCTTGAAGAGTCTAATGGGGCTTTGAAAAACTTTAATTTTAAATTTAAAAAAATATTTTTCAACTTTATTGATGTGCTATAAATTGCACATAGTCACAGTCTGATAAATATGCACAGTCTGATAAATTTTATATACCTATACATCTATAAGAAATTCTCCCAGGTTTTATTTCTAGCATGTGTAGAAGAAGTAGCCACAGAGAAAGAAGAGAGGTCAAAAGGCCATATTCAGTCAGTAATTATCCAAACAATACAGAAGGCCAGAGACTGAGTCCTATCTTCTAAGTTGGGCAAGATGGCATGCAGTGCATACTACTGATGCTGAAGAAAGGGAGTGTCTCCACTTTCCCAATCCCCCCTCTTCTAGAACAACTAGATTCATGGTGTATGTGGTTGGGGAGAAACTGGACATCCGTCACCTCTAGTCATATTTTGGAAAGTGCCTCTTTATGCCTTAAGCACTTTGGGTGTGTGGCCCAGTCTTTTATGAAGCTTCAAGAAAACTGTTAAGACTGTACAGTAAATGTTACAACTTCAGACTTTGGCTCTGTCTCTCCTCTCTCCTGTCCCACACTGGGCCACTCTCCCCTGGAGGTTGCCTATCTAAGTACCCTGGGAGCACAGGAGTGATGGAGACTGAAGAAAAGGCAGTAGTGTCAGCCTTCTCTGGCTCCCGTTTCTGAAACTATTTATTAAAGAGAAATTTATGATCTTGGAACTGCTGTTCCACTTAGATCTCTATGGTTTTCGAGCTGCTCAGAAGCAGGCCAGCAGCAGGGTGGTGCTCAGAGGCACAGTAGTAAATTCCTTCGTCACTCTGTGTTGCTTTGAAGAGCTCAAGCACAGCTTGGTTGTTTGACTGATCAATGGAAGCCTTGAACTTGTTCACCAAATTGGGCTCATATGTGCCCCCTTCTCGGTGTAGGAAAGTCATTGCGTTACCCTGGGTCCTCCTGTACCAGCTGATGTAGTAGTTATTAATTGTCTCTCCTTCCATGGTGCACCTGAAAGTGGCAGACTCCCCCAGGGACACAGTCATTACTTGGTCTTGAGACACCAACACGATCGCTGACATGGCTCCTGAGAGAAAAGACATGAGAGGGTCTCAGAGAGGACTGGAACTGAGATCCCTGAGTAGGGGGCACTGTCCGTGAGCTCCAGGTCCTGGCATTCTGAATGCCTCATTGTTGCCCAGTCTTACTTGATTGAGTCCCAAGATCTGTCTTACCTGCCCAGAAGAGGGTGAGATAGATGAGCGAACAGATCCTCTGCATGGCTCCACTCAGGGACAGTTCTGGCTCCCAACTCGCCCTCTGCCTGGTCCCTCCTCCGAGTCAACACCTCTGTGACACATTTGCATCTGAGGAAACCAGCCCCTGTCGGCAGCTGTTCTATTCTCCAAGAGGGGTTTTTGCCAATCCAGGAGTTTCACAGAGCCTGTTACTGGGGTGACAATACCACCTGCAAGATTGGTAATGTGGTCCAGAAAAGTAAGGAAATTGAGAAGAGGTTAAGACAGCTTATTTGATTGATAACAAGGTTTCTGCTTCCTACCTTAAAAGTTAAGTTGGATATTATTGCTCCATTTTCATGTTAGATGTACTTGTTATATGCTCTGGGGTGATGTCACAGTTAATGCCAAGAAGAATTATTGATATTTACAGCTGTAAGCAAAAGAATCATCAAATGAGGAGATCGATGAACTACTGGTGTTGTAATAATTTTTGTGTTTACTGCAAACTCCCTCCAGGCAAAGTTGGAGAAGGGTGATTCACCCAAGTGTAAAGAGCAAATCAATGAAGTATTGTCTCCAAATTTGAGCCAGTTTCCTGATCTTTATTGAGCTAATTTATCTTTTCTGAAGATAGGTCACCTATGTTGAATTACACACAGCCAAATATTGTCAAAAATTAGAAACCACAACTACCTTCCAGGTTATGACAGCCTAAATTTATATGTTTTCAAAACAGAGGCATGCTTGAACTTTTGAGACCTACACTTTTGAATTTCAAGAACAATAATCTATGAAATTTTGAAATAAACAGGTAAATTAATACTGGAAACTAGGGGTACAGGTCCCTTGGTACACAAAGAAGTAAGAGTGGAGGTGGCATCCAACATCTGAGGATAGGTACAGGACCTAAATTCCCATGTTAGTGGAGGAAACTCACCTAAACTTTCCTGTTCCCCCCGAGTAACTGGGACCAGTCTGGCCTGAAGAAATACAGAGAGAAGCAAGCTCAAGTTTGCTTGACCTCTTGGTAGTTGCTCTTCTTACCCTCGAGTCATCTCATTTACCCAACTGCCCATCTTACCACTGTTCCTAGAAGACCACTAGCAAGTACTCAAGGGGGTTACTTTCTTATAATGATAAATTCCATCAGTACCCACCTGTTGAACAAAATGGTACCCATTTTCTATAGTTCTTTGAAAGTTTTTGAGAGCAGCTTCTCTGGACTTACATACTTGATCTTTTTATGTCGGGTTGCCTAGCTCTTGGCACATCCTATAATCTAGTCATTTTTTACTATGCACCAGACCCTGAAGATTCACTGATAAATGACAGATGTGGTCTCTCCTCTTACGGAACTTATGTTCTAGCATGAGACCTAGTTATCACTCAATGCATAATTTGCATAATGAATTCCTCCACTGCAGCTGTGATAAGTACTCTGTATAAGCAGAAGTATTATGAGAGCTTGTTACTGGGGCCAGGATCTGGTAAAGAAAGGCTTCCCTAAAGAAGTGACTTTGCAGATGAGATTCAAAAGCAGAAGTTATGCCTGGCCGGTGTGGCTCAGTGGATGAGCGTCAACCCATGCACTGGGAGATTGCCAGTTCGATTCCTGGTTAGGACACATGTCCAGGTTGAGGGCTAAAACCCCAGTGAGAAACATGTAGGAGGCGGCCAACTGATGTTCTCTCTCATTGATGTTTCTATCTTTATCCCTCTACCTTCCTTTCTCTATAAAATCAATAAAGAAAAAAAAAAAAAGCAGAAGTTGTCCAGCTAGATGGTGTCTTTTTGTCCTTCCAGGTCTACTCTACTTCCTTCTCTGGGAGTCTGACTTTAATGGACAACATCTATCTGGTTCCCTCAATCTCTGGAATCCCATTTAGTCTGGCCGGTGGGAGGTACCATCAGGGGATTGGAGAGGAGGAGGAGAGAGAGTGCAGTACGGTGTTATTTCCTCACATTCCTTCTTGCCAGGCTGCAGACTGGCAGAGGCTGCTTTCCTCTACCGGAGGCTACAGCTTCTCTCCTACAACTGTAGTGTCCTGTAGCGGCTCCTCCAGGCCATGCTTTGGGCCTGCAGTGGTAGTGGCTTCTTTGTTGTCAGACCCAGGATGTTTCAACATCTTTTTTTGTTTGGTTTGTTTTCCACAACCCAGTTGCATTAGTTTCCTACAGCTGCCTTAAAAGTACCACCAACTGAGCCCTGGCCCATTTGGCTCAGTGGTTGGAGCATCAGCCTGCAGACCAGAGAGTCTTGGGTTCGGTTCCCGCTAGGGGCATGTACCAAAAAAAAAAAAAAAAAAAAGTCAATAACAGTACCACCAACTGGATGGTTTAAAACAATAGAAATGTAATGTCCCATGGTTCTGGAGTCTAGAAGCCCAAAATCAGAGGGCTACACTTCCTCTGAAACCTGTAGGGGAATGCTTCCTTGCCCCTTCTTTTTTTGCAGAAATCGTTGGTGTTGTTGGGCTTGGCTTGTGGTTGCATCACTCAATCCTGCCTTCCTGGTCACATGGAATTCTCTCTGCATCTCTGTCTTCACATGACTGCTTCTCATAAAGATGTCAGTTGTATTGTATTTGGAGCCCACCTTACTTCAGCCTGACCTCATCGCAAGTAATTACATTAATTTCAATGACCCTATTTCCAAATAAGGTCAATTTGCAAGCTTCCGGAGGAGAGGACTTCAACATATCTTTTTTTTTGAGGGACATAATTCAATCCATAGCAACTGCCCACACGTTTGTAAATGCCTTTCATTAGATTCTCTTGAATCACCACTTCAGGAGTACCCTCTGTCTCCTGCTGTGGCTTTGCCTGATACACCAGGCATCAGGGGGCATGTGTAGGGAAAGATTATTCTATGTAAAAATCTTCATATATTTTAAAGTTTCACTAATTTCAAAAGAACAATGAGCTGGGCTCAAAGTAGCCTGTCTTTTTAGATAATTACTGTTGAACCCTCCCAAATTATTCAGGAAGTCATTCTGAAAAATCCCAAGAATGTGCTTATGTTTGACTGTGACTTATATATGCCACAGGTTAGAGGCAATTTTAAGAGTTGATTTCTAATGGGCAAAAGCGACTTTCCTCTAGGCCTGACTAGGAGTGAGTCAGCATTGATAATAAATCAAAGCCAGAGGTAGAAGACAGTAGTAGGGAAAAACCAATTATGATCTGGTGGACACTTAGGGCAGAGCATGGCTGAAAGCTGTGCCATGCCTGGTCCGGGAGCACCAGGACCTGCGGCAGACACCGTGGCCTTCCTGATCACATGGCAGGAGCAAGGCTGAACTTGAACAGAAGTGCAGCCTATCTTGGGGTGCTCAGGTGGGAGGCAGAAAAGTGTGCCAGGGCCTCACCCTTGGACTCCACCTTTCTCAGACTCTGTGCAGACTGTGTTCCTTGGGCTGATTCTTTCTATGTCAAGGCCAGCAATTAGCCACAACTTTCCATGACCTGGGGGATGTCTGTTCTTTCATCTGATTACTGAGGAGAACATTATAATGTTTCTTTTCAGTCTGTGAGGAATCAATGAGGTGATATTTGCAAAAACTTGCTCATTGCTTGGCTATGTTAGTTTCCTCCTTCCCCGGTATCTTTTTATAGAAACAAGGATACCTGAAACTTGAATGGTTAGTAGGAGAGGCAAAAGTGGTTTGGAGGGATTTAGCCATCCTTCCCCATAATCTCCATTGGCTTCCCATTTTGACATCTTCTCAATATTATGTGCTATGAAAAGACAGCCTCAAGACAAGTTCCCGAGGCATCTTCCAATGAGTTTGCTACCCCTCAGCCCCTCACTTGTAGGAAGTCTGAGGTTGCCTTTGTATACAGTGCTTTGCAATGTACAAGAGCTGCTTCACACTTGTTATGTGGTCCGTATTTATCTCCTGTGTAATTATCCCGAAGTACCAGTGGAACCCATACTGCCCTTTAGAAGTTCTACTTGAAGTGGCATGATTTCTTCTGCCCACAGGATGTCTGACGTGAACGTCAGTTGCTGTCTACAACATACAAGGAGAGCAAAGGAAGACTAGTGAGGAGCTCACTCCCAACATCATGGTCACAGGAAAGGCCCCAGGTCTTCGGTTTGTGGCTTTAAAGATAGGCTATATATAGCATTACAGGAACTTCTGTTCCCTTCTTAAGAAAGATGTTACTGACCCTAGTATGTAAACTGCCATGAGCGCTTTCTGCTTTTCTGTAGGTGTAAGATGTCTAGAGATGGCTGTAAGGCTAAAGTTGTTATTATTTTATTTTCAGGACCATGCTGCTGCTTGGGAGTCCCAGGCAAATCAACCAACAGATTACATAGCAATGGAGCAAGATGTGTTTATTGGCTTCATTGAGAACAGAAGGAGGAATGAAAGATTTGAGGTGTTAGGGACCTTAGCAAGCCCTTGAATTTATGTTTCCGCCTTTACTTCCCATAACAAGCAGAGAGCTGCTTTTTCTGTTCAAGTGAGTTCCTTGAACTCATCCTCCATTTCTTTGAATTTGCACAGACTGTTAAGAGCAGGTAGCTGGGTAACCCTACCTTTGCTCAGACAAGCCTCAGACAGAACACTACCTACAAGTCTGAGCTTGACGGGGTCCTGGAACTTGGGGGGATCCTCTTTTCTCTAATTCCCAAGAGGCAGCTGTGCTATCTTTCAGAGACCACTGCATTTAGGCTTGGAAAATCTGGACTTGCATCTGACACCATCGCTTATTGCAAATCACTTAACCTCTCCAGGCCCCAGTTTTCTAAACAATAAAATGGGGATAGTATTGCTTCATGTAGTCATGCAATAACGGACACGAATACACCTTGTGATTGATCTACAGTTAGACAGGCACTGGGGGCCTCTGGCCAGTGTGTGGGGGTGGAGTTGGGGGCAGGGTTTGGTTTGTGACTTATCTGGAGGCAGAGGAGCAGCACCCTACACAGGGCAGCATAGTAGTAAGTCCCCTCCACCTTCACGGTGGTTTCAAGACTCTCCAGGAAGAATTGGCTTTTATGAGTAAAGTTGCTCTGGAGACCGGTCACAG